CGCACTGCCATAAAGACACAGTTTTGCAGCTAACTCGTGACTAGGGGAATAGGCGGTGTGTCCAGTGTGATGTATATTAATATTACTATAAATAATACACATGCATGCATGTACAGACACAATAAACAGTATTTTTGGTAGTAAATATTTGAAATAATACAGATCACATAATCACAACAGACTTGGTCTATGTACATAGACATGTTCTTGTTTGAAAATTTGTGAATAAAGATATCATATTATCAATTACAAGTTACAAAGCCGCCATTTTGTAACCCATATTGAAAACACCAAATTTTCTAACTTTTATTATCCTGCTTATGTGATACATAGCCAAGTTTTAGATTGAAAGCCTTCCAAGTATTTTGGGGGGGGGGGAATTTTGTAATTTTGTGATGTAACTTATATGTAACCTTGTCTGTCATTTGCTTAAAATCAAATTGAAATCCCAAGAGAGCACAGTTGGCTCTCTCTCTGTAATATCTAGTGTCTTTGATGATTGAATGCATGTCCATAAAAAATTTCAAAATTTAGAAAGCAAGAGAACCTCAAATTTTCACAAATTAGTTAATCAGTTTTTAGCTCCACTGTTGATTTTGTCAAACAGAGCTTATCATATGAGTGATTGTCTGTTGCCGACCGTCGTCATCTTCCATGTCCACTATTTCGACTTCTACCTGAAAACTACAAGCCTTTTTGCCTTGATACTTGGTGTATATGTACTTTGGGTAGATCTCTCTTTGATTTGTTCATTTTGTGATAATATCTTTAATTCTCTAGTTTTGTCGAATATTTTTGGGGAAAAATTTCGACTTCTTGTTGAAAACAGCAAGTCTGATTGCTTTGATATTATAAATAAGTACTACAGGTAGACTTCTCTCAGATTTGTCCATTTCATAATGATATCTTCAATTATCCAATTTTGATGAGATTTTTGACATTTTTGGTAGAAAGTGATATTTTCAACTTCTTGTTAAAAACCGCAAGTCCAATTGCTTTGATATTACATATATAGGTACTACATGTGGACCTCTCTCAGATTTGTTCATTTGTGATGATATCTTTAATTCTCTAATTTTGATAAATATTTTTGTTCATTTTCTACTAATATCTTCATTTTTCTAGTTAAAATGTGCATTGCTAACAGCAGAGCTATCTCAGTTGAGAGGCTGCTTGTCTATTTATTGTGTCAAAATCTTCAAATTCTGTCAAATATTGTCATGACATGTTCCCTGTTTAAGTTAGGTTGGGTAAAACTGTGAAACCATGGTAACCGAGTAAACCGAGTCCTACAAATATCTTTACAATTCTGAGTGAGTAACGTAATACAGGATGACAAATATGTCAGGGATAACCCAATCACACAGGTTGAGGGCGCTGTTCACAAAGCGATACCACAAATAGACTTCATGTCAAGTATTTAATCACTGCTATATGGAGATCACAATAAAATGAGTTATTATTACTACCTTATACTACTATATGTTTGGATATTTAGAGTAGTAACAAATTCCCACTTCTGGTCTGGTTAGACTTCAAATACACCACGAATATTCACATTGACTCGTCTCTACATTTATCGTCAGAAGAGCTTTCCCTCAGTTTTGGTATCATTGATTCAAAAACAGTTCAGTGAATTTAGTCTACTAATAAGTCAATTGTAGTCTTCTTACTGTTCAGGTTGTATGTGTAATGAATGAGTGGTAACTACGGTAATATGTTTGTATTTGATCAAACACTTGATTCGCTAATGAGGTCATGCTACACACGCACACAATACTGATAGGATGAATCCACTCTATGCCCATGTAATTATTCTGAATTATAGAGGCATGAATCATAGCAATACTCAATCAAACTACAGTCTATAAAGTAGTAACTACACTGTTAATGCTGATATATATCTGGAGACTGGTCACATAATTCCGATTCTACTTTTGTTTCGTCGTTTTATCCTGCTTTTCATTGTTTAAACTTCGACATTATACTGGTCCTAAATTTACCGACAAATCAGATTTGAGCTTCAATGTTGCTATCAACTGATTAAATTGATTAATGCTTGGTCAATAATTTGTGTTCAAGGTCAGAGTTTATGTCATTATTTGGTAACTAAAAAAACATTCTTGCATTATACATGTATCTAATACCAGATCAGCAGGAAGTATGTGTTTTACATTCCCAGTTACTTTTCCCTGGTCGCCATAAGACTGCTAAATCATTCACACTGCCGCCTTCAATTACCTACCCCCTGGTACACTGTGCTTCCATCTCCTCACCTCTCCCACAATATAAAAAACTGATTATTCAACAAGTTAGTGTTCTTATTTACTGTCACCTTAGACAAAGAGTGTCAGCGAACTGGGGAGGTATTCAAAGCAAAGCTTTCAAACAAGAAACCCAAAACTGACTCTGAACCAACGGAAACATCTTGGCAGAATTCCGAAAGTGAGAAAGAAAGTGATAATGAATCAGATAATATGAGTGATCTCTACCCAGGTGAGTTCATATTTCAAGGTTTCTTTTTTCTGATGTTTTTTGTGCCAGGCATAATCACTTGTCATTAACCAACGTTCTGAAGCTCATGAATTTCCACCAGTTTTTTTTGTCTATACCTATTCTTGGGGACGAACATCCAGGCATTTTCACTATCATCGATGAAGAGAAAAGCAGAAAATGTACTTTGTGCTAGTTGTTGAACAGTGCAAGAAAATATACATGCAGCATATATCAAATTTGGTCGCTCAGGATTATCTCAAAATTGTGCTGTTTTCAGTGGCTCCTCAGCCTGAGTTCCACAGCAGCTAAATCACACACAGCCCACACATTGTACTGTGCATTTTAGGCACATAGAACATTTTGTGAGAAATTCTGCATCTGAAAATTCAGTCAGTCAATGCTTATCAATTTATCATAGATATATTATTATCAATTGTATCCAATATATGCAAGAATTTAATTTATAGGCGTGTCTATAATAAGGTATAGAAACTTAGTACGGTAAATAGGACATGTTGACCTCGCTCAGTTGCTGGTTTTTTAGTTACTTTTAAATAACTCGGAGGATGCAGTACGTGGCGGTAAAATTGTGTAGATCAGTGGCTTTGTAACCGCACCACATAACAATGTATTATATAAACAATTTTTCAGAAGACTTTTTTAAGGATGAAGAAAAGATGGAGGAAACAAATATCGTCAATGCCAAAGTTTTCAACATACATGATGAAAATAAGAAGACTAAAAATCAGAAATCCAAGAAAAGAAAACATAGTGTAAGTTTCTTTGGTCATAAACAGGTTTTTTTTTTTCATTTAATCATTAAAACGATCAGGATTTCACATGAGCCAACTTCAAACAAGTCTGTGATCAGACAGACAATCCTACATACCAGACCCTGAAATGGTTTAGCAGTACCCTATTCGTACATGAACAGACTTCAAACATGCTTTCAAATTGTTGATGTAATCAGTTCTAATGTCATCAAAACAATAGGGCCTTATGACTACATTGCATGTTATCTCAGTTGTGACTGTCAGGTACTTCCCTAGGCATTTATTTCTATGGCATATGCATCTTTATAAATTGCATTTCCATTTTGACTACCGGGTACTTTATGTTTTACAAATGATGAACCAAAACATTTTAGAGAAGGGGCAAGGGTTATTTTTGTTCAACGTAATTGCAATATTTTTTTGTTCGTACAACGTAAATAGAAAAAATAAATTCCGTAATTCTGTAGTCACAGGCTAGACGTACAACGTAATCAATCAAATATTTTTTTCGTACACTGTAAAAATGTGTCATTTTTCTCGTACGTACAAAAATTCACATCCAAATAAAAAAATCGTAAAGAATAATCCAGGGAAATTACATTTTAGAAACTGTAAAACGACTAAATGACACAATTCACTACAAAATTGAATGTTAAGACGTAAAAGGCCCTCTAACCGAATGAGGAGCATTACGAGGGTAATATGCGCATGCGTCTCTTCACACGGCGCAGCAATGGTGAGAATTTGAGTCTTCGGACCATTCAATGTTCAATTTGTTAACACTGTAAACTGTAAAAACGTCTTTTTTTTTTTTTCGTAAATTGTGACAAGCCCTTTTTATTTCCAGTAAAACCGTACTAGCTACCCCCCTTGCCTCCCGTCATTTTAGCTAGCTAACATCGCAGTCATCTTCTTTCTTTTCAGGACAAGAACAAAAAGTCATCTGAGAAAATAACAAACATTGAGCAGTTTAAAAAACAAAAAGTAGTATCAGAAAAGAAAAATGTGTCAGTTTTGAAGAAAAAGAAGAAGAAGAGAAAACATTTATTGTAATAGACCAATAAAATATTGAGCAACTTGAAAATGTAAATTTGTTATGTCTGTATATACCTTACAAACACAGAATCTTGGGATGTGGAAAACTCAGTAGAACAGCAGTGAGTCTGCATATGAGCATTACCATTACTACACTAATCTAACTAATTATTATCACATTCTGATGCAGTTTTTGACTCCCGTGTGCAAAGCAAAGTTACCCTGTCTGTGTGTATGTATATCTGTACGTCTGTTCCATCATTATCTCAAGAATCACTGGTCAGATTTCGTGGGTCACATGGGTGCTCTAAGATAATGCACAGAACTAATTAGTTCCGGGTTACAATTTGTGCATATTAATTGCCTAATTTGCATAATAATTAGTAAATTTTTAGCTTTTCCACTGGTATCTTAAGCACTAATCATCACATTTCAATGTGCAAGACGATTGGATATCCTAATCCATAATAATGACCTAAAATGCACAATAATTTAGTTTTTGGCTTTTCACGGATATAGTACATAGATGCCTTTAGAAAATGCACAGACTTGATTAAATTTAGGTTGGATCCATGCATATTAATTTAATTTGCATTAAAATTAATCAATTTTCCACCTATATCTCAACCAATTATTGCATTTAGAGTTGGTATATAAGTTGCTGGGGCAATGCACAGACCTGAGTAGTTTTGGGTTGAATCTGTGCATATTTATTACCTAATTTACATAATAATTAGCAGATTTTCCGACCTATCTCAAACAATTATTACATTTCAATAAGAGTTGGGCTGGGACAATGCTAAAGACCTAATTTGCATAATATGCATACTGTAAAAGGGTTAATTATTCACTGGGTTTTAATTTTGCTTATTTCGCTGTCCCGAAAAATGCACCAACTTAAAACCCAGTGAATATGTAAAATTTAGCATAGAACACATTGTCTAAATGATAAAACCGTGAATTTAAAACCCACTGAATATGCCTGAAATGGTAAATCAGCGAAATTTAAACCCAGTGAAAAATTAGTCATTTTACGGTAATCATATTTCATTGAAATTAGGTACATACGTGTAGATGGTGCGAGTATACAGACATTAGTTTATGTTGAAAACAATGCATATTGATTAGCCAGTACTAATATTTCAAAAAAATCATATTTAAATTAAACTTGTGGTGTTCTGGAAAAAATCAGACTGCTAACCACAGATGGTCAATAACATTTCTGTGAGTAATATCAATCTCAATATTATGAATCGAATTGTTTTCATGTTGTGCATCTCAAATAGCAAACCAATATTAATCACCAAATTTTTTGTTTGAAAAGATAATTTTAAATATGCCTCTAATAATTTCAGGACACAGGAGTTCTTTTTAAGCTTTTTTTAGCTCCGCTGTCGACTTTGTCGAGCGATGCTTATCATATGAGTCATTGTCCGTCGTCGTCGTCCGTGTCAATGTTTTACTTTTTCAACTTCTTCTTGAAAACTACAAGCCTGAATGCTTTGATACTTGGTGTATATGTACCTTGGGTAGACCTCTCTTAGGTTTGTTCATTTCATGTTGATATCTTCAATTCTCTAATTTTGGTGAATATTTTTGTCATTTTTGGTAAAAAGTGATATTTTCGACTTCTTGTTAAAAACCGCAAGTCCAATTGCTTTGATACTACATATATAGGTACTACATGTGGACCTCTCTCAGATTTGTTCATTTTGTAATGATATCTTCAATTCTCTAATTTTGGTGAATATTTTTGTAATTTTTGGTAAAAAGTGATATTTTCGACTTCTTGTTAAAAACCAATAGTTCAATTGCTTTGATATTACATATATAGATACTACATGTAGACCTTTCTCAGATTTGTTCATTTCGTGATGATATCTTCAATTCTCTAATTTTGGTGAATATTTTTGTCATTTTTGGTAAAAAGTGATATTTTCGACTTCTTGTTAAAAACTGTAAGTCCGATTGCTTTGATATTACATATATAGGTACTACATGTGGACCTCTCTCAGATTTGTTCATTTTGTGATGATATCTTCAATTCTCTAATTTTGGTGAATATTTTTCTAATTTTTGGTAAAAAGTGATATTTTCGACTTCTTGTTAAAAACCAAAAGTTCAATTGCTTTGATATTACATATATAGATACTACATGTAGACCTTTCTCAGATTTGTTCATTTCGTGATGATATCTTCAATTCTCTAATTTTGGTGAATATTTTTGTCATTTTTGGTAGAAAGTGATATTTTCGACTTCTTGTTAAAAACTGTAAGTCCGATTGCTTTGATACTATACATATTGTTCATTTTTCTAATGATGTCTTCAGTTCTTTAATTGAAATGTGCATTGCTAACAGCGGAGCTATCTCAGCCGATAGGCTGCTTGTTTGATTTCCCAATCATTTTGGCTGTTGAGGATTTCACCAGGTGGTGTAGGATTATGTGGGTAGGGTGTTTTTGTTAAAAAATCCAAAAACTTTATGTCCAGGAAAGAATAAAAAAAGTTGACTGTCAATCTGTTTTCCATGGTGCAGTGACTGCACTACTACTTTAATTACTACCTTATACCATGGAGGTAGAAATCTTTTCTACCTCCATGCTTATACTAAAATATATTTGGATATTTAGAGTACTATTATAGTACTAACGAATTCCAACTTATGGTCCGGTTAGACTTGAAATACACCACGAATATTTACTTTTGAGATATAATTTTCAGTATGTGTTGGTTCCTGGATATCTAAGCTTCGTCGTCCTGTACTTCGTATAGTAATTCGAACTTTTCAGTTTTCCTAAAAAGGGAGAGTTTCGCGATTTTGACGTCGAAAATGCCTTTGCTTCATTATTTGCTGAGGGACGGCCGCTTAGGTATGAGCTCTGTAACTTTTAGCACATGAACCTAAAAACGTTAGGTAATCAAACAAAAATGATGTTGTACTAAAGTCCAAAAACTACGTTCAAGGTCTTCATTTTTTTCGTAGTATTAAAACGATTTACTCTCTCGATTATTGTGACGCCCTCAAATCAACTGATTTCCATTCCCCTCAAGAGTCAAAATGGTATGTGCCTCCATTTTACGCTACGACTGTTCATTTGCCTTCAATTATGTTCCAGTGGCTGTCACTGTCGCATTCTGAGTCTTGTCGATAACATTTTGGTTCAAATCCACGTAGCTATCGCCGAAAATTCAAGAAATCTTTCATTTCTTTGTCAACTAGCATGCTTGAAAAACAAATTAGCATAACAATGCGTTCGAAGGTTGTTGTCATTTTATTTGACAGCTTTCCACACTAGTGCCACACCACATACAACTAAAACATTTAAACCTTTGTTGGGAAATTCATGTGTAAATTGCGTTTTTAAGTCGCGTACCATAAATTGCGTTTTACAGTCCCTCAAGTTTGTTCCAAAGACTGCAGTCGCACCAGAGATAACCAGAACATTGATTCGTTTCAAAAACGTTCGTCGTTAAATTCACGTTTAAAAACGTTTTTTTACCTTTGTGAATTGATGATAAGCTAACAATCTTGGTAGCTTGGCCCCGACTTTCTGTCGATAGAAGTCACTTTATTTTATTGCTAGGGTGTATTCTGCTGTTAAATTTGTTATTTCCAACCGTTTTGCAATAGTATTTTCTAGATTGAAGCATGGAGGTAGAAAAGAGATGATTGAAGGCAGCATTGATACAGTTGATACAGTGTAACAATGTCGGCGCCGGTGATCTCTTACCGTGTGCAGACAACGTCCCCAAAATAAAAAGCATGACCATTTAAACACTGCTATTACAAGACTGGTAATAGGTAATAAATTTGGGGCGAAAGTATTCCAATTAGTTGCGGTACGACTTGCCTGTCAAGTATGAACAAAATCAGCCAAGCCAAAAAAATCACAGAAGAGTTAAAAGCAATTCTTGGTGAACTGTAACCCCAACTTTGGGGTCAAATTTCTCGGTAATGAAAAAAGATACCAAAAATTCAAATAGTTATTTTGTGCCCACAATCAAGCTGAGTAGAATGAGCTATGTCTGAGGTGTTTCATCCTGAATCTGTAGGAGGAGATACATTTGGGGCGAAGCTAATCAAAAATCATTTTGTTTTGGCTGTTGCTATGACAACGGTGGGCCAAATTTTTTTTACAGATTTTTTCCAATAACTAGGGTGAAGGTGTGACCTACCTGCCAATTTTGAGCGAAATCGGCCAAGCCAAAAAAATCACTGAAGAAATACTACGTGAAAACACTGGAAATCACACACACAGACACACACACACAAAAGGGCAATTTTGAGGGCAATCCTAGCAGAGCGGATCGCCAATATGTTATTTAGAGTACTAACAAATTCCCACTTCCGGTCCAATTAGAATTAAAATACACCACGAATATTCACTTTTGAGATTTTTGGTATGTGTTGGTTCTTGGATATTTCAGCTTCGTCGTCCTGTACTTCATTTAGTAATTCGAACTTTCCAGATTGTGTCAAATCGGAGAGTTTCTTGATTTCGATATCGAAACTGCCTTGGCTTAATTATTTGCTAGGGGGCGCTTAGGTACGTGCTCTGCAACTTGCAGCGCATGAACATAAACATGTTAGGTAATCAAATTCACGGAAAGTTGACAATCCCTAATACTGCTTCATCAGGATTCCAGTATGAAGTTACACATCATTCTAGCAAGGAAAAATATTATTACTGTTGTGCAGGTTATATAACAAAATATGAAATAATTAATATTTCATTTTTGTTAGTATATCTTTATTTATTAAAATATGTACACATTATATCTAATTGGGGTGGGTATTGCCAAGCAAGTTTATAAAATTATAAACAAATATTTTCGTAAATAACACTGACCGCGAAATACGCCTTTGAGAAGTGTTACTGATGAATACTTTATATTA